CAACTGCCTCTGTGGCCGAACGGTTACCATGACTGCCACGCAGAGGTCCCAGGTTCGATTATTTGTATGACCTACATTTGTTTCTCTCGTGAGTTTGGGGGTAATTTCTGGTTGTCTATATGTGTGTCCATGGCACCCGCGACACAGGGTTTCCATAGTGCGGGGCTATGTTGAGTGTGTGTGTTATCATTATTATTATTATTTCTTGTACTCGACTGATGGTCGGATTATTAGAACCAATTTCGGGCCTAAGCCAAGTATTCTGGTTCGGTTGTGGTATTGTGAGGGGATGTGAGTGAGTGGTGATTTTTTGTGGAGTTTGTTGAATCAGGTGTATTTATGAAACGGCGGACTATCGAGCATGTGTCTAGTAGAATTGAATTTGTAGAGGTATGTAGGTTTTAGGGTGCAGATCTATCATTTTTAAGGCAGTATGAAGGGTTTTCGGTATGACACCAGTTGACGAAATTATTATTATTATTATTATTGTTATTATCTATAGAGTATTGTTGATAAATTATTAGCATGAATATAACTGCAATTTTTAAATTGCATTTTAATAATTTTATTGACTTTGATTGCGCGAAGACGCGCGTCGACTATTATTTTTCAGAGGATATTAAATGTTGTTGCCTAGTAAATAATATATAGATTCGCCATTAACGTACGTGAAGGCGTGGCAACTGGGCGGTCGCCATGTGGAGGCCGCGCGAAGACTTTCGCGTCATGTAACTGGGCGCTAAAAGTTAATATATGTCCCCAAAGACTAAAAATTCCAATGAGGTCCGTAAACTATTATTTTTTTCCATCCTCTAAGATTGGGTCGAATATAAAGTGTCAAGTTCTGTAGTCTTTGTTCCTGCCATGTTTTTTCAATTTCATGTCAATGGTGCATTTTTTGTCACGTTTTTGGTGCATTTTTTTTTGTGTATTTATTAAGTGGAACACTCGATACTGGCAAAATCCAAAAAGTGCACTGCCAATAAGCGAAAAGAAGAAGAAGAAGAATCTTTCGGTGCATTTATTTTACCTATAGGATTTTGTGATTGTTGCTGATTTCTCTGTTAGTGTCCCTCCCATCCATATTACAGCTTAATCATTAGCCGGAAATTGTCTGGTGTTAAACATAGGTCTTCCTAATACAAATCTATTATTGTTTCACGAGGGCGTCATTCAATTAGTTTAGAAGCATTCTTTTTCCAGCATGCTGTTGCCTCTTTAAGATCTTTAGTCATCATCATAATCAACCAATTTATGCGTCCCACTGCTGGGCTCGGGTCTCCTCTCAGGCGAGGGCTTAGGCCGTTAGTCCACCTCGCCGCTGGTCTAATGCGGATTAGGGACTTCACACGTTTTCCGAGGGTTGTGAACCTTCTTCGACGTGCTCGTTTAAACACGATGTTTTCCTTCACCGAAAAGCTTATAGAAATTGTGAGCCCAGATTCGAAAGCACGGCCTCTGCTTGACGTGGTCCTGATCTGTCGACGGAGCTCCTCGAAGAAAAAGGTTTAGGTCATAGCATATTATTCTTTTTTTTTAATTAATCGTTTATTACATAAAATATACTTGGCTACAAATTTAAAGCCCGCCAAACTGCGGAGTTTATTTGCGGAGAGACACCCTCATATAAGCAATAAAGTTACATATATGCCTAAAATAC